GCACTGGGCTCTGCGACCCCGGCTTTGACTCAGACCTCCAAGTTTCTGCCTAGCGCTCGAAATACTCAATAAGCGCACTTGATGCAAATCTGTCACCGATCCTACGAGGTGTAAATCGCGAACATGCGAAAGATGTGGGGCCAGCGGGCATCCATTCGCTTGGACCTCGCAACTATACCTTCTTCGACAGCGATTCTTCATCATCTGATACTGAACGCCAAGTGTCTGACATATCTTTACACACAGTACATCCGGAATTTCGGAAAGCGTAGAACCGACATCGCTGTTTGTTATTGCCGAGGGGGAATCATTACCATGCATGCTGCAACTCGGGTCATACGATCTATCGACCGGGAGAGGACGACAGCCATGGCATGATGCGTATGGCATGTACTGACGCGTGGCAGTGACTTGAGACTTATACCCTTCATCAGTATCATCGCCGATGGCCTATATGAAGTCCTTCCAATACCTACCTCGATATCTTCATGTGATTTACGTCTGTTCGATCAGGTCATACATGCATCCTGACATGCTCGGGGACGACACTTAGATGCTGACATAAGGTTTGAGCTCACGCCCTATGCAACGAAATATCGCTCTGTATAGCATGACTAGACACGCATACTGGAGAGCTATTATCATGCAGTCTGCTGGAGGTAGTGCCAACCAGCAGAACGAACTGTTGGGCGCGTCAGCCATTCAATAATACCTTACGACTCTCGCTGATCTTGATGGTTCTTGGAAGTCACAAATATATTGAGTATCAAACTTGCGAGCTTCAAGAACGTCTGGCTGCTGTGTGGCCACGGTGGGTATACCATCAGGATGGGCTTGGCGCCAAGTGTCTGGGAAATCCACGTGACCGCGCGGCGGCTGGAAACATCGACGTGCGCGACCCAAATGGTCCATCGAGAACCTCGCGCGCAACAGACCTCGACTACCTTCACCCCAGCAAAACACGCTCCACCATAAATATGCTTGATATTGAGGACTTTGACGCGGTATATCGCAATCTTCACTACAACGATGGCCTTGTTCAAGAGATCCAATCATACCGGACTGCGCTCGGTGGGCGCACCTTCTTCGAACGGTTACTGACACTCCTAAACATCAAGGGTAAGTCGCGCACACTTTTGGACCTCGCCAAATGCTAATTGGAAACAGGAAGCAAGATGTACCCGCCTAAAAGCTCACAACAGCTTCAAGAGCTCCATCAGCGCATAATCTCCTCCAACACCACACTACACAATAAGCACTGTCTTGTGTTCTACCTACTCAAAGATTTATCGGCGCAACACCACGAAGCGACAGAGCTAGCTGAGTCGTTCGCGAAAGACGTACACCTCGAGAAGCGATTCTGGACATTCGTTGAAGGACTCTGGTTCCTCGACCACCTCCAATTCGCGACCGCCGTCGGACACCTTACATACCCGGGCATAATACCCACCTTCCCCGACGAGATCATGTACACCCTCTTGACAGGGCAGGACAAAGTGAGCAGCATGGGCATGGCAAGGGATCCAAAAGATGATATACTGGCACTAGCATACTACAACTGTGTACGGCCGCCGCTGGAGGACCAGAAAACCAGGGACGAGTTTGCAAAATACCTTGCAGGTCGCAATGTCACGGAGATGTACCAGTGGATCCACGGCAGACCGGAGTACGAGCAGAGACCACTACTGGAGATCCTTATCGAGCAGACGCTAGATCACCAACCTTGGTCTCAGGACCCCGAACACGAGATGTACACGCGAGATGCCAAGGCGTTTGAGCTAGCGGGATTGCCGTTCAGTGAAGTCGAAGAGGAGTTCATCGAGAAGTTCCTGACCGAGGGCAGGGGCAGGACCTTCCAGAGCGCACAAGATCTTGTTATGATGCGCAAGATTGCCACAGGCAAGCTGAGTGATGTCGCGTCTGATATGGGCACACGCGGACGCAGGATTGATGGTGTAAACTGGGAGAGTTTGAAGGATGGTGTGAAGAGAGGACTAGGGCCCAGAAAGGATGAGCAGAGCTTTGCTGTCTAAGACGAGCAGTCTGTCGAAGGGGTTTCTCATGTCTTACCTGGTATCTAATGCATAGCGAAGGCGTCTTGGTACAAATTCAACGCGGTGCTTTAGCCTGGCGCACCTGTCTCTGCTCGTCTCACCAATTGCTCAACAGCAAGCTACATCTCCCATTCACAGCGCCTCGCTCGGAACACTACTCAGTCATCACTTGTATTTCGTGTCCTTCGATGTTAACTACAGCGCCACGGCTGACCAGTGCCGTATCTTGGAGTCCGCGCTACTTGGCAGCTGAATCTCCTAGTGTTGGTGCTCAGTACTCGGCTGCTTGCATTCATCGGAATCTACTCCTGATCCAGACTTTGATATTATTCAAGGATATTGTTATATTAAAAGCGTATGTGGTAATGCGGAAAGTACATCGGATAACACTATGGAGCGGAGGTCTCAAGCGAAAAGAAGACGATGCAAAAGCGAGCGCAACGTCAATACACATATGAACTCCCAGCTGATCTTGGCGTATTCGCTCCACTCCCCATTGGGCTTGAGCCTGGACTCAAGCCACCTCTTCGTCTGTCAGCCCCGAAGAACCTTTCCAGCTCTTCCGCCGGCCCGAGTACATCCTGATAATAGCTGCTTTCGATGCTCTTCTCCGCCATGACATCGTTGTCTTGTAGTACGTTGAGGCAGAAGAACACCATATTTCCCAGTAGGATGTTGCTTCTCAGCTCGACCTGCGATGCGACATCGTGAGCACTGACCTCCTCGCCATCGTTGATATACAAGCGTGTCTTGTGGGTCGCGGTGTCGAAATCGATGTACGAAAAGGGTAATTTGAGTGCTATCTCTGCGAGGACGAGTCCGATGCGGAAGATTTGGATGTGTTTGGAGAGATCGCGACCATCTCTCCTTTGGCGATTCATTTGGTAGCATTGGTTCAGGGTACGTGTTGTCATCGACGAGCCAGGCGCTGCGGTCAGCATGCTAGCCCACTTCCCATCCTTTGTTCTCCGCCAGCGTACATTCGAGCAGTCGAGAAATGACAACCATTGGCTTCCTATCAATCGGAAACAGCCTTGAGCGATGCCAGTCGCTATCGCATTTTGGTCTTGAGAGTACAGCGTTTGTGAGCCGAGGTAGACGTTCTGGTCGCGAATCACACTCGATAGGGCTTCCTTGTACTGCAAGTCAGAGAGAAGGTTTGTTGGCGGTTTCTTGACCGTGAAGCCTGCTGATGTTGACAAAGGAGGTATCATGTAGCAGTCATCCTGCGTCCTGTTCATGAGACTTGACACAGCAGTAGCGAAATTCTTCGGCACCAAAGCTGGTTCGTAGATAGTCTTGAGGGTCACAGGATGGACGATGATCTCATGGCTTGCCCCGTTCATGTTGAGCAAGAACGCGAAGTCGCGCTTATGAATGCGAGGGATGGATAAACCGAGATGTAGTCGATTGTCCCGGCTGGAGTCGCTGCATCGATGTAATCGCTCAGCATCTTTTTGGGCGCGAACGGCGTCCAGAACCCTGCTCTGTATCGTATCCGTCCTTCCGTCTCCGACCTTGATTATCACTCGCCGTCCAGGGAGTCGCTTGACTTCCGAGAAGATCTCTGCGTGCTCTCGCTCGAGGTAAAAGTCGGTAAAACGTTCGAGCATGGTAAGCTTTTGATATAATCGCCTGAGACGCTCTTCTAGATCGTTCGCTTTTCCAAGGACGCTCAACTCGAATCTGCGCGACCATGTGGTGTTGTGGCGAATTCTCCAAAGACACTCCTTGACCCGATCCTCGTTACTCAAGTGCTGAGTTTCTCCATAATATCCTCTCCTAGACTCGAAATTAAGAGCAAGGCCTCTGACTCGTTTGATGTCGCTCTTGATGCTTCCGGTGATCACATTCACAGTACCGATTGTGGCTGTGATCCTTTCGTGCCCTTCTTTCCCAAACAAGATCCTGGTGTGAACATCGGGTCGATGCACTTGGATGTCATATTTCTGTTGCCAGCTGTCTAGAGATAGTTTCGCAAAGTCAAGCCCTTCTTTGATGTCGAAGAGTCGTTCGGATAGTCGTCTCCATTGTCTGATTTCAAGGGCAAAGGTGTGTAGAGCCTGTCCTGCTGTATAGAGGCCAGAGATAACGCCAAGAACTTCAGCCATGGCTCGTCCAGCTGGAGTGTTGAGTCGCGTTGAAGATGCGGTTGAGATGTATCTTCTATGACGCCAAGGAGCAGTAAACTTGCGTGCGGCACAGTCGGGAAAACTTTGAGTCGTGTAACAGCAACAGCTGCCGAGCGCAGGAACTGTATGGTGCAATTTCGTGTAAGATGTAGTGCGAGTCCAGGATATCAGCGCGGTCGGATGGGGGCTGGGCCATCTTTTAGAGGCGGCGGCCTGATGTATTTTCGACATTAAACGGGCGGCCTCATGACCCACGAACTATTGCGGCTGAACAGATGCGAACATCAGCTCGCCGGCATTGGTGTGGGGTATTGAGGTGACATTGGTCGGAATTGGCTCCATGCATAGCGGCACAGGGATGACGTTACCGTTTGGTGGTGCTCAGCCCCCAACGGCCCCCAAAGGCGTCTGAAGTCAGCTGCCTGATCAGGCAATTGGGTCGCACTGTTCATATGAGCGTGGCATTCCTACATCTTTTCGTTTCTGTTGAGTTCTCGACCCCACTGACAAATTTCTCTTGACACTGGGTGCAGTACCGGACAGAACGTTCCATGCATACCATAGCAGCAGGAGTCTCCGCTATAGACACATACCTGCCTTTGTTCGTACCACGTTAAAACCTTTTGATCGTCTCCATTCTTCCATTCGTTGCGACTCCGTGCGATGGCGACCATCTCGACCGACTTCCTAGAAGTCGACGAACGTCATCGGAATCCCAGTCATACTCGGTCGCGCTCAGGAGGCTATGTCGATACCATAGAAGAAAAGGCGAGATGGGATCGAAGGAGTCGCGAACAAGAAATGAAACGCTATCATGACAGTCGGCATGGTACAGCCTCATCTCCACGAAGTTCTAACTCTCCTACAACGCCTGACCGACTCGGCGTCCCCGTCTTCGAAACTACTGGGAGGATGCGATCGAGTTCAGAAGCTGGTCAAAGGGACAGAAGGTCAGAACGACGATACAACACTCAGGAGGTCCGGCCCAGCGCGATACCAGTTTCCGGCTACGATCTGACCAACGAGCCAGTCCTGTCAAGTCAACTACCGGTAAGGTACGAAGGCAAGCCACAACACCAGAAGAAACCAAGCATCAAAGTGGAAATCCACCAGGACAATCCGCCATTGCCCACAAGCGGTCAGGCTTTTAGGGCGAAGCGAAGCCCGAGCGCTAGCCCAAGATCACCCACTGCACGACCGGAACTTCAGTACCAATATGCGACGCTACAAAACAAACTGGACCAGATCAGTAGTACGTGTTCTCCATACATGGATGTTGAGGCTGCGGAACCTCAAGATCTCACGTTTGAAAAGATAGTAGAACACACTAAAGCTTTTGCTTTCGATCTGCAAGTGTGGGCTCATCTTGCGAATCTCGACGGTATGGCTACGGTGGATAAGCGTAAGAGAGAAGTCGTGGACGCCGCATCGCGAAGCCTAGACCGTCTATTGTATCTGGTGGCAGCATTGAACGACGCTTGCTCTGAGGCCAAGCCGAGGGACCTGAAGTTCAAAAAGCTTCCTGAGGTCGACGACGAGACGTTGTTCGAGGACGAGGATGACGACAGGTATGTGCTTTCGAGACGTCGACCGAAACTTCTCTGACTTAGAATATCAGCGGTGAACCAGACCCTACAGAAACTTTAAGCTTCATCATTCATTCCAGCCTAGACGGCATTGAGCTGCAAATCCAGAATCTGAAGAGATTGAGTCGAACATTGCAAGAGGCCACACCGGATGCAAAAGATGAGGTCGTGGCAGTCGCGAAGCTCGTAACGGAAACCGTGAGGTACTTCGGCTCGGAAGAGGCACTACATCGCTATGGGATCAATGAGAAGATCTCTGGGAGGAGAGGTTTGGAAGAAGCAAGGTACACGAATTCGCATTAGGCGCGTGAAGTTTAGGAGTGTTGTGAAGATGAGGAAGACCAAGTAGCGTTTCGCATAGGTTGATAATGAAATTGAGGTACGTTTTGACGCGTCCCGTTAACGCGTTGAGTCGTGATAAAGAGATGGAAAGGCGCGTTGGTGTGGCTGCCCAGGTGCCCGCTGCGAACCGCTCTAGCGTCGGCTCCACGACTGGAACCTTGGAAGGTATGACGTAGCGCATCAACATCTGGATCAGAGTGCCAATGCAACTGAGGCAACTTAGTTCCAGACAGGAAGTCACTCTTTTCAGTTTAGGATGCGCCGGTTAACATGCAAAAGAGATGTCAGTCATGCTGGGATTCCGTTTCGCGACATGTCGCTTATCCGCCCACTTCCAGGAGGCCCAGCTCGACCGCTGACAGGAGAAACCATGAGCGCGGTCTCGTATGGCCAAATACCCGCGAATCCGACACCGCGTCGTCGCTACATCAAATCAAATAAACATTCATTCGTGGAAGGTACTCGTTGCACATACAGTTTCAAAATAAGAGTATATTGCGGTTTTCTGAATATGCAAAAGAGAAAAGGATATTTACAGCGCAGCAAAAGGAATGACTGCGAAGCTCTGACATGCCAGAACCGAGAATAAAATGTGCGTCACCCCAGATGAGAAAGGCTCGAGCCATCACCACAAAAGGCTACAACTACCATCTACGAGCACTTGGTAACGCTGGGTACGTTGGAGCACTTGTCGTAGGTCTTGCCGCCAGCTACGGATACATCTGTCCAGGTCCAGCCAGTGCAGGAGCCCTTTCCGCAGGTAACGACGACGTCGTAGCCACTGCTGGAGACATCACCAGTGACGTTGTCGAGCGTCAAACCGGTAATAGGAACGCCAGTATCAGCGTCACCGTGGAGGTCACCACCGTCGTAGTTCTGTTCAATGAGGACGCCATACTTGGAGATCTCAGACAGGGTAATGTCTTCGTAGGTGACCTTGTTGATCTTGCCGGTCGTGCCAGCGCGAGCCTTAACGCGCACGCCGTTGACGGACTTGGTGATCTCGGAGTTCGAGAAGGTAACCGTATCGACCGTGTTGTCGTCACGACCACCGACAGAGCCGATGGAGAGACCGTGTCCACCAGAGCAGAGGCCATTCTTGAAGGTGATGTCCTATCCGTATTGTTAGCGGGTGTCATCATCTCCATCCCCAGGGCTTACATACGGTACCAGAGTTCACGGCAACACAATCATCCTGGTTGTAGACCTTTGCACCGTCGATAATGACGTTGCTGCTCGAGCCAATGTCGAAACCATCCGTGTTGTGACCTTGCTCGTCCTTGTCGCCTTCCGAGGCATCGATGGTCATGTCGGTAATGGTGAGACCGTCACATCCGTTGATACTGACTACTTGAACGGGAGGGTTCTTGATGGTAATGCCAGTGATGGAGGAGTCGGTGAGCTTGTGTGCGGAGAAGAACTTGGGCTTCGTCTTTCCGCCGTTTCCACCCTCACCGTCCCACCAACGAGCGCCATCACCATCGAGGACGGCTCCCTCGGCACCCTTGACAGTGATTTTGGTTCCACGAATGTCAAGGAGAGGTCTGAAAGTTGGTTCATGAAGTCAGTGCATGTCTCATACATTTGTACTTGGATTTTGCTTACCCTTTCCACTCTTTGTAGCCCCAAGTTGTGGTACCTTCGAAGATGACGGTGGTATCGTCAGCCAAGCTGGATAGGTCCAGAGTAGTGCCTGAAGGAACAGCAACGTCCGAGAGGACCATGGTAGCACATGATGACTGCGACTTAGAAGCCTCAGCAGCTCCGTTCGAGCCCGAAAAGGTGCAGCTGGATGCACGTTTCACGACTTCGGGCTTAGGTGCAGGAGTGATGGCCGGGGCTGGGGCTGCCACAGCGGACGCCGCCAGCGACGTGAAGAAGATACCAAGAGTCAAGGCGACCATTGTGAAAGATGGTTGATTCGAAGAAAGGCTTAAAAGAGCGAGTGAAGTGCTTGGTTGCTTGGCCTACATGCTTGGTACGCCACACATATATACGAATTTCTGGTAATGGTACATGCGAATGAATGACTTAGCCACCAGCCAATTACTCATACATCGAATCTACACTTGACGGAGGCATAATTTCCCGATTCAAGATTCTCCATACTGACAGATGAGGGATTGTTTCGAGATCCTCCACCAAGTGGAGAGAAAGAGGAAGAGATGAGAGGGACATGGTCGCTCGAAGCAACGCTTGTTCAGTGCGTGGGTGTGGTCAGGGGAGATTTGTTTCGGAAAATCCTCCAATGAGTGGGACCCGCCCGATTTCCACTTTTCCAAGCCTGTCGTTCGAAGGTACCCTCGTGAACATGTCAATGCATAGCCAGAGTTGCGTGACAAGCCTCGGAAAGAACGGAAACTAAAAGGCTTGACTCTGCTCCAGCCCACTTCGGCGCAGTGGTATGGGAAAGCTCTCTTCCATCGTGTGAAGTAGCGTGCCGGAAATGGCTAGTACGTCCACCGGCCATAGATTGGGAATCTGCGTTATTCCCAGCCACCTCACGACGTCTCCTGACAACACTATACGTGTTTACTGAACACCAGCATAGGGTGCAAATTACATGGCTTGTTCTTCCATGACGTCCACATACTTCCTCCCTTCCCGTTGTGGTAACCTTCCCGCTGGCGCAAGCTTCCTTCACGCGCCCTCGGCATCTCGGGCGAATGACGTTCCACCCGCCTCCGCAAACGCCACACATCTGGGGTCGCTAGTACCTTGCATATTACCCCGCTGAGCATTTCTTCCATGGCAAACATTATACCGTCAATGAGATCGTTCCGCGACGCGCAGGTCCGGATGGCGATCTTTGGCCGCGGCTGAAGTCCACGGGCTAGTTGCACGCGAGATCGAGAGCTATGTCGTAGAGCAAAAGTCGCGTCGCGTCTCATTGACTTTTCTTCATCACCGAGGAAGTCAAGATGCGGTTCTTCCATCTGTTTGCAGTCGCGATCTCGCTGTTCTTTGGTGTATTAGCCACGGACAATGGCTTACAGACAGACGTGGAATGGGATAATGGGTCGCTCATGGTCAATGGCGAGCGTATCATGGTCATGAGTGGAGAGTTCCGTACGTGATTGAGATGAAATGAATGAACTGTACATGAACCATACTGACTGTCGCCTCTGCGCCTATCAGATTATGCTCGCCTCCCAGTTCCCGAATTATGGCTCGACGTCTTCCAGAAGTTCAAGGCGAACGGCATGAACACCGTCTCGATTTACTTTTTCTGGTCGTACCATTCTGCATCGAAAGGCAAATACGACTTTACAACGCCCGGAAAAGACATTCAGCGCCTATTTGATATGGCTAAAGAAGCCGGACTCTACGTGATCGCACGACCAGGACCCTATTGCAACGCGGAGACGAACGGCGGCGGCTTCGCGCTATGGACCAGCGACGGAAGTGGTGGCAAGTACAGGACTTCGGATGAGACATATAGACAAGCGTGGTCAGAATGGATCGCGGAAGTTGGCGAAATTATCGCGAAGAACCAGATCACCAACGGCGGCCCTGTCATCCTAGCACAAGTCGAGAACGAACTGCAACAAACCCGTTACGAAGCCAACAACACTCTAGTCATTTACATGGAACAGTTGAAGACCGCTTTCAAAGAAGCGGGTATCATCGTGCCTTTGTCACACAACGAGAAGGGCTTCAGGTCGAAGAGTTGGTCTACTGACTACAACAATGTCGGTGGTGCGATTAATGTTTACGGTCTGGACAGCTATCCTGGTGGCATGAGCTGCACGAATCTCGACACTGGATTTAACCTGCCCAGGACGTACTACCAGTGGTTCCAAGAGGTTTCCCCTACTCAGCCAGAGTATCTACCCGAATTTGAAGGCGGCTGGTTCCAACCATGGGGCGGTTACTTCTTCGATCAGTGTTTGGCTGAACAGAGTCCTGAGTTTGCGGATGTCTTTTACAAGGGCTTGATCGGACAGCGAGCTGGCCTTCTAAACTTGTACATGGCATACGGCGGCACGAACTGGGGCCATTCTGCAGCTCCTGTTGTGTACACTAGCTACGACTACGACGCGCCGCTACGCGAGACACGAGAAGTACGCGACAAGTTCAAGCAGTACAAACTCCTTGCACTATTCACCCGTGTCAGCAAGGGCCTTCACAACACGTTTATGGAGAACAACGGCACCGCAAACGCGGTCGACAACTCCGCAATCTGGACTTGGCAGCTCAAAAGCCGCGATACGGAGGGGAGATTCTACCTTGCCGAGAACAACAACACTCGTACCCGCGCTGTTACCGATTTCTCCATAACGATCAAGACATCGGAGGGCGATGTCAAGATCCCGAGCATGCAGCTTGCGGGCCGTCAGAGTCGATGGGTAGTTACCGACTACGCTGTGGGTGACGAAACGCTGCTCTACTCGTCAGCCGAGATTGCTACCTATGGCCTGTTTGATCGACCTGTCCTCGTATTTTACACCCGCGAAGGCCAGATAGGAGAGTTCGCATTCAAATCGCAGGGTAACGTAACGTTCAAGGCATACGGTGCGGAGTCAGACCTTGCGAGTAAGCCGGCTAATGGCACCTACTCAAGCTTCTCGTACACCCAAAGCAGGGGTGCAACAATTGTTGAGTTCTCCAACGGCGTTCTTGCTTATATGCTTGATATACCGACTGCATGGAACTTCTTTGCGCCATCAACGACAAATGACCCCAACGTCACACCCGACCACCAGATATTCGTGCTCGGGCCATATCTCGTCCGCTCTGCCAGTGTATCAGGCGGCACACTTTCCGTTGTTGGTGACAATGCAAATGCGACGACTATCGAAGTATACGCCGGTTCTGATGTGGAAACGATATCCTGGAATGGAAAGGAGCTCGCTACGACGAAGACTCCCTATGGTTCTCTCACTGCGAAGATCGCTGGAACTGCAGACCGCGAGATCACTCTTCCAGAGCTTGCCAACTTCAAGGCTGCTGGGTCTTCACCTGAGATACAACCTTCGTACGATGACAGCAACTGGGTTGTCGCAAACAAAACCATAACGCTCAGCCCAGTGAAGCCGCTCACTCTTCCTGTACTCTTCAGCAGTGACTACAAGTACTACACTGGCGCGAAGATCTACCGCGGATACTTCTCTGGCAAGACCGCGTCTTCTCTCAACATCACAGTTCAAGGTGGTGTCGCGGCAGGCTGGGGGGCTTGGCTTAACGGGCAATCAATCGGTTACCACCCCGGTAATGCATCACTCACTTCGACCACAGCCTTGCTCTCATTCAAGAACGTCACATTGAAGGATGAAGGAAATGTCTTGACAGTGATCACCGACTACACGGGCCACGACCAAACCTCCACAGGCCCCGCAGGCGCCGAAAACCCTCGCGGTATACTAGGGGCCCAGCTCCTCAGCGGTAACAATACGAAAACCTCGTTCGACCAATGGAAGATCCAAGGTAACGCAGGTGGAGAGCAAAACATCGATCCCGTGCGCGGTCCAATGAACGAAGGCGGTTTGTACGGTGAACGTCTCGGTTGGCACCTCCCCGGTTTCGACACCTCTTCTTGGGAAGACGCCAGTCCCACTGCCGACGGCATCCAAGGCGCCGGTATCCGCTGGTTTACAACCAACTTTTCCCTCTCCGTCGACTCCGACCTCGACGTTCCAATCGGCATTGAACTCGGTGCGCCGAAAGGTACCATTGCACGCATGCTTCTCTTCGTCAACGGCTACCAGTACGGAAAATACGTACCCCACATTGGACCCCAGACTCGCTATCCCATTCCACCTGGTATCCTCAACATGAGAGGGGAAAATGTGTTGAGTGTGGCGATGTGGGCGCAGACTGAGGCTGGCGCGAAGTTGGATACGCTCAAGTTGATTGAGTATGCGAGATATGAGAGTGGGTTTGCATTTAGCGAGATTGATGGGAAGGCGTTGCAGCCGGGGTGGGTGGATAGGAGTGAGTACGCGTAGATGTCTAGCATACTACCAAGAACGTGATGATACGAGACCGGCTACGATACTCATGCTCTGTGATTTCTTACAGTCTAACTGACTTGAGCCTCATGACTGTCCAACGCTCCCTGCGGAGCTGATCAATGTGAGTTTGTACAACTAGTCCCGCTAGTCGAACAGTCGAATGACCATCTATACAGTAGCTCCGTCGTCTCACAGTCCAATTTCTCTAATTCTTCATCTTCGATCCCTAGTAACTCGCGAACTTCGCCCAAGTACTCTATGGTACGAACTCTCTCGTCTTCATACGGAAGTCTTCCGCCTTCCAGTGAAGTGTCATCTGCCCTTCGGAGGATCTGAACAAACAATTCAAGTGGCGACTTCGAGTAGTCGGGAATGATCAAAGGCCCATCGCAAAGGGCTAACAATGCGTACACGTGGTCTCGCACGTCCGCACATCCCGAATCCGCAAACTCGAGTATCACGGATTCGAAGATAAGTGTAAATTCCTTTCCACGATCACGAATAGACAGGTTATTATCTCGAAGTCGTTGAACTCGCGTGGCAGGACTATCCAGTATCATGCATAAATCATCCTTGTGAGAATGTATGTAGAAATACTGATCACGAATCCCTCTCATCTCATCGTGAGTGATCCCGTGTGAACCACATCGTATGCTAATCATTTTGCCTAGAACGTATTCTTGTACAATCCATATTCGGCTCCAGTAGGGTGAGCAATATAGCTCTTTGATGCACTCCAGATTGTCTTCCCACCAGGCTTCCTGCTCTGCAAGCTTAAGAATGTCGAAAGCTAGTAAAGTGCTGAACAACGTTCTCCATCTTGCGGTATGCTTCGTGGAATTCCCAAGCCAAACCAAAACAAGCTGAGCCTCCGAGTATATCTTTCCCATCATAGAGACTTGATGGGTACGCTCCGGATTGCTATCTTGATCAATACAGATAGCGTCTATCCAGAAAGGACAATTTTTCTCTTCCTTCCGTGCTTGATTAAGAAAGTTCCAGAGGTTCTCTCGTACGGTGAAAGGCTTGCCATTGACAAAAATGTCTCGGGAAGGCGTAGGCGGACCCCAGACATAGGAAAGTGCAGTATAGTGAGGATTTTCTCGGAGAGCAACAACGTGGAGGGCGCAGGCTATTGGAGTCGTCTCGTCATTCGTCGGGAGGATTGTGAGAAGTCGGATGTTCGTGCTGGCATCGATGTGGAGCGGAGTGTCTTCGTACAGGGTGGACATGATGGGAAATGACGTGTGGGGTCGGTCGCCAATAAGTACAACATGGTGCGCATCAATGCAGTCAGAAAGAGGGAGGAAGGAGGAAAAGAATAAAGAAGCGAGGGAAACGCTGTCGAGGTTGATGAGTGAGACGAGGCTGAGGCGCAGCTGCCTACGGCTGAACGAAGCCTGAGGGCAGGAGCTAAGCAGGCTGATTCAATAAGCGAGGCTGAATGGGCGATTAGTCAACGACAGATGTGTAGCGAATACAGTGCGCGTGAACATCTAAATCTTGCACATGCTTTTTGTTCCATTCTACACGCTCTTGAATCGCTCAAACATCTACGAACGTGATTGTATGCCAGCCTGTAGAAGGCCCGCTTTTATCTGAGCATACCTCTTAGTACTCCCATCCGTCATCCCCACTGTCTTCAAAGTCCAGTACCATGTCTACCCAGTTCCCTCCACCATACTGGCATTTGCTGGGACCAATCTTCTTGAATCCTGCCTTCTCATAGAAAGGTATATACCGGTCTCTGCAGATGAGCGCTATCCTAGAACCCACACCTGAATCCTTGATCCTCTGTACATAGCTCTGCAGTAATATCGAGCCGAGACCTTTGCGCGCAAAGTTTGGATGTACACATAACGAGTGCAGACAGACTGTCTGACCATCTTCGTTGTGCCCTACATTTGGCGTAAGTTGATAGTTGGTTTTCCAGTCCTTGGGGTAGTCCATGGCATCGTCGGTGACAAGAGGGGAGTTTGCTTTGGTTGAGATGATGTGACCAATTATCACGCGCTTCCGGTCTGTGTCTGCTGAGTCTATTGATGGGAAGGAGTGCAACTTGATGGTCTCGCCTAATGGTCCTGACGTGGTGGGGTAGGCGGAAGAGAAGAGCCCACTGCAGAGCTCACCACAGGTTCGCAGACGGTACTCGAGCTGTGGTAGGTTAGCGCGGAATCTGAAGAGACCGGAAAGAAAGAGCGCTGCACATGAGTGAGGGAAGGGAAGGAGCGAACGACCAGCGCATAACAAACTCAATTGGACCCGATGAACGACGTAAGAGGTATATTAGTGTTTCGTGAAACAATGGATAGGAAACAGGGCAGAAGACAGTGTGCGCACTTGATGGTTTGAGTAACATCATTATGGAGAAGAGCGCATGGCTCGTGCCTGACGGAGCCCAATGGTGGCACTGAGCAGAAAATACAGGCATTGACCATGATGTTCGAGATAACGTCGATGAAAGCAATCGTCCTCACCTTCTCGCGCGATGCAGCTTCAACCGGATCAAAGGCCGCATGCTCGAGCCAATCGCAATCATCCAGGTCGTCGATGTTCAGCAATGAAGCGTAGGGCCGGACGCCCATCTGCTTGAGTCTCCCCTCCTGGGCGATGTTGGAACTGCGATGGGGCACCAGACTCGATTGCTGCTCCACGGACTCTGGGCTAGCGACGGTCTCAGGCTCTCTTGATAGTTCAGGCATGCCATCGAGCGTCTTTTTGTCTGCTAGCAAGTCTCGTGGCATCTTGGCGGTGAGTTGCGACAGGTCAGATGGAGCGTTGTTATGATGATGATACGGCAGGAGGGTCGGTTGATGCGACTATAGGAAGCCGGAGTGCAGTGGTGAGTCTGGGTTCGTGGTTCCTGGAGGACTCACGAGACTCTCTGCGGCCTCAGCCCCGCCTTTACTAGCGGTTCGCTTCGCGCCTGCCGTTGCAGATCGTTCCGGGTTAGCTGCGTGGCAGATGGCCCAAAGGAGCAGGCGGGGGTATGCGTGTGTTATGGCTGGTATGGGATTCACTCTTCTAGACTCCTGCTTGCGTCTCAAAAAGCAATGTCTTGTGCTGGCGGGATTCGTGGATTATCGACCATGCCCTGACTAGCGATGGTGTGGCGATGGGATTCACCATGACGTGCAGTAGGATGATGTCGGTGGGGTATGGCAGCACCTGGTGGCATGGAGCTACAGCTCACGGAATCCTTTGCAGGGGCTAGCCGTAGGGCGCAGCGGCCAGATGATTCTCGTGCATGCGTTGGGCAGGAGTTGAAGCATCCCAGACATTATGCTATCCAGGTAGCTGGAGTAAGGTCTGGGTATGCTCCCGGATGAACAGCACCCCCGCGGAGATGGCGACCAGGCTCGCCGCATAGTCCGCCCAGGACAAGTGCATGGCAGACACGCCGTGGCTCCAAGCAGAGACGGTATTCATTCATATCGACGCGACTGTCTGCACCGTCTAGCCTCTCCCGCGCATCGGCTGCCCCGCTTGCTGTGGCCATGCTTGGGCCTACACCGCCAACGTCGTGGTTTGGATGCAGTAGTACTACTCCTTCGACTGCGCGCCTCCGCCTACGCCCCAGCCCGACGTTGCTGGTATATTACGAGTGACAGCCTTGGTGGCCTAGGCGAAACTCTCACAACATGCAGCCTGTGCCCTCTGATCGCTGATTCATCCGACGCTGGGTTCGCGGCTCCACTACGTTCCATTCCCTTCCAGCCCAGCAGGCGGCGACTGACGTGCCCTCTCCCTCTCTCACTGCGAGGACCCTCCGGCCCGTTCCAGTCCCAGGTTGCGACCAGACCATCACGGCCCAGTGCCTCCTTCCTATAAGCTCCTGCGCACCGAGACACCGTTGCCCCGACCCGCCCAACCCAACCTCACCTCCCACCGTGTCACGTTCTTTGGCCTCATCCAGACGTGCCCGCATACGCCCCAGCCCGCTCCGAACCACCATGTGAGTCGATTCCGGAGCCGTGGTTGTGCCACCACCCCCAGCACGCTGCTAACACACGCCGCCAGGCCTCGCGTCACCATATCCATCACCGCGCCCGGCACCCAGGCCGACACGGACCTGCTGACGCTCGAACTGCCCCCCGGCAGCACCGTCAAGGACCTCAAGGGCTTCATCGAGGCCGACACCAGCCTGCCCGCCGCGTCACAGAGCCTCTACCTGAACGGCCAGCCGGTAGCCGTAGACACACAGACACTAGAGGACGCCGGAATACGGGATGGCGAGATGCTGGCCGTTGTGATGCGCGCCGCACCTCGACCAAACAGGAACCTCCAGCAGCCGGGCAGGCCCGCGCAACCTGATCCAGAAGGCGTGCGACAGCTTGTCCTCAACGACCCCCAGCAGATGAACAAGCTGCGCCAGGGCGACCCGGAGCTCGCCGCTGCCGTCAACGACCCCACCCGCTGGAGAGATACATATGCCATGAGGCAACGACAGGCCGAGGAGTCGGAGCGCGAGCGCCAGAACCAGATTGCCCTGCTCAACGAAGACCCTTTCAACGTCGAGGCGCAACGAAAGATAGAAGACATCATCCGCCAGGACCGCGTAGTCGAGAACCTGCAAAAGGCATACGACGAGAACCCTGAAGGTATGTCAACTTCGACCGGCGGATAGACCGATGGGATGATATAAGTGAGGGGCTGTGTCCACGGAAGCTAACATGTCACAGTGTTCACGCGCGTACACATGCTTTACGTCAACACCGAGGTCAACGGGGTGCCTGTCAAGGCCTTCGTCGACTCTGGCGCCCAGGCCACCATCATGTCCCCCGACTGCGCCGAGCGGTGTGGTATCATGCGCCTGATGGACGTCCGATATGCCGGTATGGCACGCGGTGTCGGCACTGCCCGTATTCTGGGTCGTGTACATCACGCCGAGATCAAGATTGGAGGCGCGGTCATGCCCTGCGCCTTCACAGTCATGGAGGGCAAGGACGTCGACCTACTATTTGGTCTGGACATGCTCAAGCGTTACCGCGCCAAGATCGATCTCGAGAAGAATGCACTATGCTTTGAAGGTCAGGAAGTACCCTTCTTGCACGAGTCGGAAATCCCCAGGAGCTTTGAGGAGGCGGAAATGAACGAGCCAACTGTCCAAGGTCCCAACGGAGAGGAGATTGGTGCGAAAACTGGTGCCGTTCGACCGAAAGGCAGCGCTGCAGCTGGTCCTTCAAATGCCGGCGCATCATCCTCATCATCTCAACCAGCGCAGCCGCAAGCCCAACCCACAGCGTCCAAAGCGCCCTTAGCATCTGCACCCACAAGCAACTTCCCTCAGGAGAACATCCAGCAACTCACTGGCATGTTTGGATGTTCAGAACAGGAAGCCATACAAGCACTGGAGATGTTCGGAGGCAATGTTGAGCACGCTGCGAGTTTCCTTCTCGGTGGTTAGTCAACGAGACGACCACAGCACCATAAGATCAGGATCACATGGCGCTCGCCTACACCCGCTGTAGTCTCACTCAGTAAGATTTAATCCTTTGGAAAGATCTGAACAGTTCAAAGGAGTCTCGATGACGAGGACATGAGTTGACGAACTCACGACATGGCATCGATAGCATGCATGTATTACCAGGGAACAGGATTAGAAGCGAAGAAGCTTCATATGCATTAACGTAGTTTCACGAAGATAAGATAGATCAAATGAAGAAGGCTTTCAACGCCCCTCAACGCGCTTCGTATCATGACAATGCACTCCCACGTCTACCTAATCTTGTACAAGCACGGCTTCAGGACCGCACCATCCTTTGCATCGCCCTCGTCATCTCCATCACCAGCACCAAACCTCTTCCCCTTGAGCCCAAACTTCATACCCCCACCTCTCTGCGCCACAGCTCCCGTCTTCTGATCCTCCTTCGCGTTCTTACCCTTGCTTGGATGCGCTGCCTTGACAAACTGCATCTTGACAAACATCTTATTGCTCAGATCGATCGCATCGCCCGGCCTCTCAGGTAAAGCATCAAGAACGAATCCACGCTTCCGCAGCACTTCAATAAATGCAGAAACGTCTGTTCCCTCTTTACCCTCCTGGCCATCTACATTGACCGCGAGTTCCTCCTCGTCTTCCGAGTCCACGGGGCCCTCCTCAGGTGGTTTATCCGCCTTAGCTTTCTTCGCCTTGGGCGGCTTCTTGTCCATGGTTTTCTTGAGTGAGCCAATGGAGTTGATAGGCACACCGCCCTTCTTCTTGTCCACACGTCCAAAGCGCGATTTGATTTCTGAGACCCATAGCTCGCCTTTCCAGCGCAGGATACGGTATGCTTCGTCGATGAAGTCGAGCCAGTTTGTGCCCATGAGTGCGAGACAGAAGATGGCTACGTCGACGCTGTTTTCGGAAATGGGCAGCGCGGAGATGTCGGCGATTGTTACGAGGTCGGCGGAGGGGCCGGTGGGTTTGGAGAGGTCGAAGGAGTGGAATGTTAGGTTGAGCGATTTGAGATGAGGTTGGAGGCGGTAGGATAGGGAAGCTGTTCCGCAGCCTAGATCGGCGACGGTGCAGTGACCTTTGAAGTCTCGAGGGAGAGGTTTCGCGTCTCCACGGGGTGGTGCGATGGCTGTGGTCTCTTCTTCCTCGAAACCGGGGCCTCTGCGAACTGCATTCTTTGGTGGGCCTCTTCGATCTTTTCGTATGTCCTTGTTCCTTAGCTTGCCTCGTACTACTATGCTGTTGACGTAGCCATCTACGGGGTTCGATGGCCATACTTCGACTTGTTGTGCGAAACCGCGATGGTAGTCCTCGAACATCGATGGGTCTTCCTTGAAGAGAGACGCGCTGTCTGCAGAGGGTTTTGTGTAAAGCGCTTCGTTCAGGTGACGGAAGCGCGCACTGGCAAGCTTGCTGCGCATCGATCGCTGGAGGGGTGTGAGGCCCTTGGGTTCGGGAAGGAGGTTCTCCAGGACTGGAGTCGCGGAGGCGGGGTTCGTGCCGTTTGCGTTTGCGGCGAGGAGCTTATCGGCTTTGGATTCCTTCCTGCGCTTCTTCTTCTCGCGTTTTGCCTCGCTGTCGGCTGTTGCGGGTTTCTCTTCAGCAGACTTCGCAGCATCCGCTTTAGCTTCTGCAGGCTCAGCTATCGTCGCCGTATCCGCGTCCACTTCTTTTGCGCCATCTGCGTCTGCCTCCTTGTCTTTGTTACCTCCAGCCTTTCCCCTCTTCCTCTTCTTTCCACGCTTGTCTTGTGCTGCCTCATCTGTCGCCTCTACACTTGCTGCCTCTGGCTTCTTGGTCTTTTGCGTCTTCTCCACCTCCGCAGCTTTTCCATTGGCTATGCTGTCCCATTGTTCTGCAAGATTGTCTGCATTGACCTGCTGCTCCTCGCGCTTCTCTTTCCGCTTCTGCGCCTTCTTTCCAGGTTTCGTGGAATCTTTCGGCTTTGGTACTTCGACCTGGGTTTTCACCTGCGCGGCGACGTTCCATCC